AAAAAATATTTATAGTGATTTAAATAATATCATTTCTAAAAATTTTTACGTGGGTACACAAAAGTACTAAAAAATTTTCAAAGAATTGGTAGCGATGCCTTCAACCTTTTTTTAAAAGTAGGAAATTATTTTTTACAAAAATTGTGATTATAAAATAAAAATTATGCCAATTTTTCATTTGTTTCTGCAAAAATAAGAATTTTGTTTACAACCACGATTAAAAAATATAAAATTCTGCAAATTTTGTAAGGGGCCATTCAAGTATTACGTAAGCACATTTGTAAGGGTTTTTGACCCACCCCCCCCTCCCCCAGAGTAAGATTTTTTACATACATTAGCGCCATTTTTTATATTTACCGTAAGCAATAGCTAGACCCCCCTCCCCGTTAAAGGCTTACGTGATACTTGAATAGCCCCTAATTTAAAAAAAATTCTTGAGATTTTGTTAAAAAAAATATGTGATTAGTCGAGATTAAAAAATATATAAATAAATATTTTTCCTTTTCTTCTCAAAAGGTATTTGAAACTTTAAAAATAAATGTGACTGACAAATGGGTAAGAATTCCTGAAGTGGCCCCCTAATATTTTTTGTGTAATAGAAAAAAGTGATACTCATATATTTTAGTAGTCCATGATGTCACTAAAAAACCCCTGAAACGATTTTTCAAAATTCGAATTTTTTCATAAGTTATAAACAATTAAACTTTTTTGCAACGTTTTGGAAAAAATTCTGTATCTTGAAATTGGCCGAACCGATTTTAATAAAAATTGGTTTGGAGAAAGATTAAGATACGTACTTTTGATAAATAAATAAATTATGAATAAAAAGTATAATTTGTTTAAACAAATTATATTGTTAATTTTTAACTTTATAAATTAACAATGTTCTCAGTCGATTTTTCCAATTTTTTTTATAGAATCATAAAAAGGGGCTTTTCACGATTCCATGACAAAAATAAAAAAGTGGGATTCTCAAAAACTTTAGAAGATACAGAATTTTTAGTCTTAACGCGCGCGAGTTTTCTGAGCAGCTCACGCATACGGCGCGGCATCTCCCGCGCGCCCCGCGCCAACCAAGACTCCATGAGAGTTCCGGATTATAATATTTTATTAACTCAATTAAACTGAACAGTTGTTTATATGTATTTTATTATGCATATCATTTTTTTAATAATTAATAATTTTTGGCTTATAAAACGTTTTCGTTTTCTTTAATTTGTTGATGGCTGCTTTGCACGAAAAACAAATGAACTGTCCTATTAAATTTTTAAATCTATAATTCCACGAATTAGGCACTTTCACAAGATTTTTATAAACTGCTTTATGTTCGTTTTTTTTCAACGGTTTGCAGCAAGTATTTGCTTTTGGCATATTTTAAGATTTGTTTTTATAGCACATACGCGAAAAAGTAAAATTTTTAATATACAACGTGAAAAATACTAATCGAAACAACAAACACGGACTTACATTTATGTATACGTAAAGAAAATACTATGATCTAAAAACGAAATTATCATGTTAGGTGAATGACCAGACGATTGTCGCGATTCTTTTGTTTTCACGTGAAAACGCGCAAATTTTCATTCAGTGCGCATAAACGTGAAATTTGTTAAAATTTTGACAGCAAACGTTAAACAATGCGGTCTAGAAAAATAAAACACGGATTCGCAATAATATATTTTATTATTCATTGATACATAAACAAAGCAATTAAAAATCGTTGAAAATTTATCATTAAAATTAAATAATCAGAAACTTATTATAAACAGAAATTTTATAAATAATAAAAATTATTAAATATAAACAAAAATGATATGAATAATAAAATACATATAAACAACTGTTTAGTTTAATTGAGTTAATAAAATATTATAATCGGGAACTCTCATGGAGTCTTGGTTGGCGCGGGGCGCGCGGGAGATGCCGCGCCGTATGCGTGAGCTGCTCAGAAAACTCGCGCGCGTTAAGACTAAAAATTCTGTATCTTCTAAAGTTTTTGAGAATCCCACTTTTTTATTTTTGTCATGGAATCGTGAAAAGCCCCTTTTTATGATGCTATAAAAAAATTGGAAAAATCGACTGAGAACATTGTTAATTTATAAAGTTAAAAATTAACAATATAATTTGTTTAAACAAATTATACTTTTTATTCATAATTTATTTATTTATCAAAAGTACGTATCTTAATCTTTCTCCAAACCAATTTTTATTAAAATCGGTTCGGCCAATTTCAAGATACAGAATTTTTTCCAAAACGTTGCAAAAAAGTTTAATTGTTTATAACTTATAAAAAAATTCGAATTTTGAAAAATCGTTTCAGGGGTTTTTTAGTGACATCATGGACTACTAAAATATATGAGTATCACTTTTTTCTATTACACAAAAAATATTTGGGGGCCACTTCAGGAATTCTTACCCAAATCTAATTTACAAAAATTTTGTAAAATGCTTATACTCTCTCTTTCTTAATCATAATTATTTAATAATTCTCTAATTTTGTTCAGAAGTAATGAAAAAAAATATGCGTAATTTCGATTTGCCAAAAAACATTATTTAACAAAACTTAAGTGTTTTAATGCAAAAAAATGAAAAATTTCCAATGGATTTTTAAAAATTATTAATTGTTTAAATAGATTAGAAATTATAAAATAGAAATTATGCTAATCGTGTTTATTTATTTGATTATTTCTAAGAAATCAGAATTTTCTTCAAAATCGTAAAGAAAAAAATATGCGCGCATGAGAATTTGTCCGACCGAAGGGAGGGCAGATTTTTTATTGTTTTTAATTGAGTAGTTTTTAAGGGTTGATGTTTTGCTTTTCATTGGTGTTATTTGGTATTAGAATTAACAAAAAAATTGTTCCTTTAGCCAAAAAGTATAGAAATGTTGATTTTTTGCCTTAAATACGGGGTACTTTCACTCCCTGATTTTAGCCAAACAATTAGCATTTAGAGTTTGGCTGAATTTTGTCTTCAATTAGGACACTTAGAACTACTAATTCTGAAAAGATGAGCCAAATTAACGGTAAGCCAATTTCAATGCATTTTGTGCGGGGTCGTTTGTATATTTTTCTTCTTTTTCAAAAAGAAAAAGAAATTATGAAATATAGAAATTAGGTAAATTTTTCAAGTAATTTTTAAAAATAATTATAATTTTGTTAAGAATTGTAATAAAAAATCAGAAATAACACAAATATTTTTGAACAAAAAAGAAACTAATTTTGTAACAAAAAAATAATATTTGACAAATTAAAATTATGAAACTTTTTTCCATTCATTTCATGAAAATCTTTTAAATTTCTCAGTTTCATTTTCAATAGGAAATTGTTGTTGAATTTATAAAAAAAATGTCCTTCATTTCTAATAATATCTGAGATTTTGATGAAAAATTATAGTGAAGGAATAGAAATTATGCAAATTTTTTATTTATTATTAAAAAAAACTGTTGAAGATTTGTTAAAAAATTGTGATTGAGAAATATGAATGTTCAAAATTTATTATTTCGTTTCCTTCTTTTACGAAAATAAAATCAGGATTTTGTATAAAAATTGTAATTGTGAAATAGGAATTATGCAATTATTTTTTACCAATTTCAAAAAAAATTATAATTTCGTTAACAATTGTTTTTTTAAAAACAGAAATTACCTTCACAAACATTTTTCAAAAAAATAATTTTTTTAAATTAACAAATACGATTGAAAAATTAAAATTGGGATAATTTTTTTCCTTAATTTTTAATAAGAATCCTTAAACTTCTCAGTTCTATTTTCAGTGAAAAATTGTAATTGACAAATCGAATTCCTAAAATATTTTTCTTTTATATCTGAGATTCTTAAGAAAAAAATTGTGATAAAGAAATAGAAGATATGCAAATTTTTTTTCTATTACTAACATTAACTGGAAGTTTTTGTTAAAAAATTGTGGTTGAGAAATATAAATGATCCAAATTAATTCCTATTTGCTACATTTTCGAAAAGAAAAAAGGGGAAACAGGACTTTGTATGAAAATCGTGATAACTAAATAAAAATTATTTTTTTGTTTTATTCTATTTATTTATTATGCAAATTTTTTTCATTATTTAAAAAAAATATCTCGTTAAAAATGTAATTAAAATTATAAATTACTAAAATTTTTTTCTAAAAGAAACTAAGAAGTTCGTAGCCAACAAATGTGATAACAAACAATATACAATTCGCTCCTAGTTTATTTGATAACCCTTATGAAAAATTCTTATAGGAAACTAATGTTAAAGCTGAAATTTTTTAATTATAATGTTTTTGTATAATATTTTCGCGATTATAAGTAATTTATTTTAAAAATTTCTTTTCTGAAATCATTATAACAATATAATTGTTGAATACTCTGTATAATAAAAGTATCGTAAAACTATAATTATAAAAAAATAATTACAAGATTGTAATTATAGAAAATAAAATTTTTGACTGCAAAAATTATAACATTTATATAAAAAATATATTTAAATACTTCGTTTAAATTAATTTACGAAGTAAATTAATTTTTAAAATGGTATAAACATTATTCTTTCGTTTAATTATTTAATTTTAATTTCAAATATATTCATAAATTTAATTATTGCAATGAAATTATTGTAAAATACTTTTTCTACAAAATGAGTCATGGACATTAATTAAATTTTTAAATAATAATCTCAAGTGATTCATTATGTGTCTTAATTATTAGTAAGTTATATATGTAAATATAATTTTATATTTAATTAACTTTTTTATTGAATCATAAGACAAATAAGTATATAAAAGAATTTTTTGATTAACTATTTATATACTTTTTATATGTAGACAAAAATAGGTTAAAAGTTTTAGATTTTCAGAATTAAATTTTATTTGTTATAAATTTACAATTCTCATTTAAACGAAATGTAAATTAGAATCATTAACGTATTTAAGTGCATATGATAAAGCGAAACATAAATAATACTGTAATTATTATCATTTATAAACAACGAAATAAATTTAAATTGTCATTCAGGGTTAGTTGCAGCCACCCTTTTTTTCGCTTTCGCATTGTTGCATTTCGCTCTTAGAGCCATCTTGAAAAGCTTGTTCGTATCGTCGCTGTCCCCAAATTTAGCAATTGTCATTTCTGAAATAAATAATGATTTTAATTAATTAAAAAATTTAATCTAAAAAATATATAAAAATTTATTTATTAGTTCATATATCATATAAAATATAAAACAAAATATTTTATATATTTTTTTAATAATTATAATTATTATTATGTCATTATAACATTATATTTTATATATAAAATATTTAAAAATTCTTTTTCAACAATTTAAAACTTGTACAATTTTAGACACTTTGATTACATAAAATGTAATTAGTTTTAAGATCAGATTTAATCAATTTGATTTACAAATGACATTTTTACATTAATCTTACTTTTCATTGATTCCACTCTAACTGGATCTAATTGTTTTGTTGATTCTTGCTCATTATTTTTCTTATAAGCATTGCTTTTTTTTCCAGTTATTGAACTTGTTTTTAGTTCTTCTTTGTCAAAAACGATAGAACTCAAATCGCCTACATATTTCGAAACATTTTGTGTGCTACAGCTTTCGACCGCATCAAGGCTACATAGTTTGTTGCCAATTTTGATAAAACGGCTTTTTTCCTAAAATCAAACAAGTAAATTTATTTTATATATATATATATATGTACATAAAAATATGTATATGATAATTTAAAAATTATGCCATTTACTGGTTTCACATTGGACGATGAAGATTCAGTCACTGCAATAATTGGAGGCGCCGTTGCTTTCGGCACATTTTGTTTGCTTGTTGATGTTTCTACGATTTGAATAATTTCTTCGTTTTCATTCGTACCAGAAGTTTCCTGAATAATTTCTTTGACACTTTCGATTGCAAAATTAGATTTCGGTGCTTCTAAGTCTTCAAATTCATTAGTTGAAAAATCGTTTAAAATCTGAAAGTCCAATTTATATTAAAATTTATACTACAAATTGTAGACTTTATTTTTAAATTACAAAATATCAATATAAATTCATAAATACTGAATGAATTAGAAAATATAATAAAATACATTAAAATAAAAAAATACCTACCCGAGAAACTTGTTCCGATGTTTCGACTGTTGATGGAAATGATTTAAGTGGATTTTCTTGTATTTCACTTAATCTGATTTCACCTGATTTTAAATCCATTAAATCTTCAGTCTATATAAAATATTTTCATTGAAATCAATTAATAAATTAATTGAAAATTAAAATCCATTTTAAATATATAAAAAGTACCTCTGAAGTTTTTTCCAGATTTTTAACCAATTTTTCGGTTTCTCTTTCGGACTTTTCACAATCTGAAAAAGCTCCTTCAACATCGGTGTCCGTATCACTTAGAGAAAAATCATCTGGTTTTGATAGCTTCAAATAAATTTATTAATTTTTTAAAAAATTTGCTTTAGTAAAATAAACATTATTTACTTCTACAAATTTTGTTCTATTTCATTTGAAAGAATATAAAATTGAAAATTATAAGCAAACCCTAATTTTTGATTGATTTGAAGCCTCATTTTTCTTTGATTCTTTTTCCTTTTGGTAAACCGTGTGATTTATGTTTAAATTCTTATCTGAATTTGAAAGCAATTTCAAACATTTATCCAAAGCTAAAACAGTTAAAATATTTTAATTTATGGATTTATGTGTATTAAATTATCTTATTGTATTGAATTAAAATGAAAAATAAATATAATTACCAAATTTAATATTTTAATGTTTATATATTTCTTTACAAAAAACTTACAATTACTCATATCGACAATTTTTTGCAAATATGATACTTCTTTTTTCAGACGCGGTAATTCCTCTTTAAAAAACGACATTTGTTTTAGAAGATCTTTTTCTTTGTTTATTGAAAGAGCATTCGCTTTCTTCAAATTATCATTTTCTACTTTAAGACGAAAAATTTCCTGTTTTAGAACTGATGTTTCAGATATTAACATTTCACGACTGTCATCATCTGAACTATAATCTTCTGATTCTTCTAAATGTCTCTAATTAAAAAAAAATTTTGAAATAAAAATTTCTGTATCGTACTTTTATTACTATAATAACATATAGGTAAAGAAAATAGATTTATAATTCCTTGAAGTCATACTGATTTTTTGAAAAATATAATTAAAATATAATTTAATTTTTAATGTAAAATGAAATGTGGTACTTTTTCAAAAAAGTGCAAAAATTTATAACAATGAATTTAAGTTTCTAGATATTTTGAAACAATACTCATTGCACTTAAGAAATGCTTACATTCACACTCGATTCTGCTTGATGGTTCTCTACTTTCGCCAAAACATTTGATGCCTGAACCTTATCAATTTTTTTCTTTTTAATAACTTTAGTTGTGTTTAACTAAAATAAATATTAGTATTGATTAATTTATTTAGTCACTAAGTTAGTAGTTACCAAAAATATTTTTTTGTTTTAATTAATTAAGTAATTTTTTAAATTTACAAAAACATTTTTAATAAAATTTTAACAATTTTCTGAAATTTAATTTACTTTTTAAAATAATTTTCCTTGAATCACAGCAATTACAACATCTTATTAACAATTTTCTAAATATTAATTAATATGAATTGTAAATTATTTTAAATATTTTTTTCATAATTAATGCTTGTATTATTTTTATATTATAATGTATAATAAAAAAGCTTTGAACTTCATATTGCAATTTCTAATATTATTAATAAAAATAAACCTTTTCGCTCTTTCGTTTTCCAGTTTTATTGTCGACAGGTTGTTTACGATGGCGAAATTGGCGCTGACTTTTTGTTGGATCTAAGACACTCAAATCAATTAGATTCCTTCTCTTCTCTGCCATATCTTTAAAGCCTAATATATAATTTGAAAAATTTTCAGTAATTAAAAATTATTTTAAAAATTTAATAAACTAAGAAAAATAATTTATTAAATAAAACAATTTCGTGACTTATGCGTATTAAAAAAAGAGAAAAAAAAGAAAACAAAAAACGCAATTTACTTACTTCCAACAGAAATTATCACGGCAACTTTGTTTTCCCACGTTACGTCTTTTTGCAAACGAAGTTTCATTTTACTTGCTGGTCCCATCTCGCATAAAGGCCATTTTAGTGATACAACTTTTCTGTTCTTAATTATTTCTTCTAAATTTTCTTTTTCGTCGTCTTTAATGAATGCTTGAAATCCCACTTTCAGCATTGAATTTTCATTCACTAATTTAAATAACGCACATGCTTCATCTTTTATTTCACTGAGATCAGTAATCCCTTTTACTCTTTCCGTAGCCATTTTCAATTGTGAAGACTGATAATATTAAATAATCACTTCTTAAAATATTCGTTCAAACTATTTGATCGATAATATGTCTCCGCAATGCATCTGTGATGAAATATTTTTGACAGTTTTTTTGTTTTTTCTTTTGTTAAGCTGTTGCTAAGCAATTAAAAAAATGAAGTAATTTTCTACTAACATTTAAAGTTTCAAAAAAAATTTATAATTTTCTTAGAAATTTAAATTTGCGTAAATATGGTTGGAAAAAGAGGCCCTTACAAGAAATACCTACTACAAGGTGATATTCAAGAAATTCCAGAATCTACACATCGATATCGACAAAGAAAGAAAAAAGCGCGCATTGATAATGAATCTTTTAAAATGAATGGTTCCTCTGATGATGAAGATGATAATTTTGAGGTTCTCCAATGCAAAATAATTAATGAATCAAATAAATATTAATTTACTAGGATATACACTCGTTTAGCGAAGTGCATATAAAAATTAAATATATTTTTTTGAAAGTTTTTAAATTTATATAAACATTTTATTTTTTTTAAAAATTACATTTTTTAATTTCAGTAATAATCAGTATATTTTAAAAATCATTAACATATTTTTTACCTTTTTATATTTTTATTTAACCTCAATGTGTGATAAAAGAAATATTTTATTTTTTATTATTTTAAATATGTGCATATTTTTATATTCATTAATTATTTAATTCGCTATTACTTTTGTATAGGTTATCGACGTTGATACGTATTCTCGTAATTTAAAAGATTCACCAAAAGTTCATTCATTGTCAATAAAAAATAATGTTGAAATTCAGTCATCTGAAACTAATTGCATGGAAATAAAAGCTGCGTCACTTAAAGGAGCAATTTCAGCTGATAGAAACTCAGCGGATTTATTATATAATGTTACTACCAATTATTTTGAAATAAATCCAAATGATATCGATCCAAATGATAATGATAATCTTCCTGATGAAAATGACTCCGAAGATGATTTATTCTACGATGTTCCTGAACTGTTTGAAGTTAAACTAACTGATTACATTCAAGAAATTGAGGTTATTGATAACTGTTTATTTATAAATTTTTCAGTTTTTATTTATAATTTCTAAAATGGTTTCAGCACAACTCGTTTAAAATCTAATTGTACTAATAAAATATATGATGCTTAATAATTTTTTATTTTGCAAAGGCAAATGCACAAAAATTTTCAAATCCTAATTTCAAGTTAAGTGAACGGAAATGTAATTTTTAACCTTTTTGATATACACATTGTTGACAAGACTTAATTTTTCGTAGCATTAATTTAGTATCTGACTTTTTTTATATATTATTAAAATAAAAAATAATTTATTTAGACCATTTTAGAAATTTTATTTTTTGAAAAAAATAATTTTTTAAAAACCGTACAAATTTTTATAATCATAAAAGTGTGTTTAAAAATTGCCTAAGAAAAATAATAGAAATAATGAGAAAGGTTAAAAATTCAATGAGTTAGAATTTGATTTTAGTTTTCTTAATTTAAATTTAAATTTAAATTTAATTTATTTTAATTATCAATCCAGAAATTCCTGAAGATATTTTTCGTTTATAAATAATATTTTTTATTTACATATCATATTATTTAAATAAAATATTAGACATTAAAAATATTTTTTTATTTTTTATAGAACATAATAATTTTAATTATTCAGAAAAATATTGTCAGATAAAAATTAAAACTTTGAATAACATTAAATTTATTTCCATTTTTTCTTGCAATATAATACTTTAAATATGCAGTATTTACGCGAAAATATTTCAGGGAATTACTAGGAATTTGATTTTTTGTAAAGAATTCAATAAATAAATTTTCTCTGCAAAAACTCTTTGCCATTCCACATGGAATTACTAATTAGGATTCTACTCCCAAGAATTTTTTCACGTAGATAATATAATGCTTCCCTATATAAAAATATATTCCTGCAAAATTCTCGGAGGTTGATGATTCCTGGAATTAAAATTCCTAGAAATTCCCTTGGGAATTTGCAGGAACTCTCAGAAATTTTACAAAGAAAACTTCCATTTATGGAATTCAATCATGGATTAACCCCCTATAAATTCCTGAGAATTTTCCCTGAAATATTTTCACAGGGGTCTTTTCATTGTTTCTGATGCTTCTATTTTTGTTTTGATATGCATTCGAATTGGCTTAAAATATATTTTTTATTTTAATCGTTTACAGACTCGAATTCCAATTTACGAAGGATCTATGTTGACTAAAAAAGAAAGCGAAGTTTTAATATTAGCGCAAACTCTACGTCATGGGTTTTCAGATTCTGCATTAGACAGTACTCTTCAAATCATTAATTGTCACTTACCGTTTGACATCCACGGATCAAAATACAACTTCTTAAAATCTTTCCCCAATCCAAATGCAATTACTTATTATTACTGCAATAGCTGTTCAACAATTTTAAATTTTGAGGACTCGGAAGAATCAACTTGCAAAAACTGTACTACACGCTACGTAAAATCTATCCTTCACAAAAATGGAAAATATTTTTTATACGTACCGCTTAAAGAACAATTAAAACAATTCGTAAAAAGCAAATATTACAAGTTCCTGCGAAAAAGTAGTGATGACGAATCAGATATCATAAATGGTAAATTCTATCGTTTATTAAGAGAAAAAAAAATTATTGGAGATATCGACCTCACAATCCAGTGGAATACTGATGGAATTAAAACTTTTGTCTCATCAAAACCATCAATCTGGGCGATTTTAGTTCAAATCAATGAATTACCATACAGAATGAGGAAAGATAATATGTTTTGTTGCGGGATTTGGTTTGCTTCTGAAAAACCACCAATGAACTTATTCCTTCTCCCTTTCAGTGAAGAGATGATCGAATTACACGAAACTGGTTTTGATTCGGAAACATTTTTAGACGAAAAACCGATCACAATAAAAGTACATACAATTTGTGCTCCTGTTGATTCACCTGCTCGATGTGCAATTCAACATTTAAAACAGTACAATGGAGAATTTGGTTGTGGTTATTGTTTGCATCCTGGAGAAGAAATACCGTTTGGAAATGGGCACGCGAGAGTATACTGTGGAGACAAACATAAAGGACGAACCTTAAAGCAGCATTTAGCTGACGTATCAACAGTTGTCGAAAGCAGCGAAATTACAGAACTCAATGGTGTGAAAGGACCTTCTGTTATAATGCAAATACCTATTTTTCATATAATTTGGTCATTCCCTCCAGAGTATTTGCATGTTGTTGCTGAAGGTGTTGCAGAATTAGTGACAGATTTGTGGTTTGATTCCAAGCATCATGAAGCTAACTGGTACCTAGGGAAAGAATTAGATGAAATAGATAAATTACTTTTAAGCATAAAGCCTCCAACTGAATTGACCCGTTGTCCTCAATCAATCAAGAATCGTTGCCGATGGAAAGCTTCAGAATGGAAGAATTTCATTTTGTACTTCTCCCTCGTGTGTCTTCGAAAATTAAAAACAACAAAAAAAAAGAAATATTATCAGCACTGGTTCTTGTTCGTTTATAGTATCAACATTTTTTCAAAAACGAAAATTAGCGAAGTTGAATTTTCAAAAGCAAGTGAAGCTATCCGATTGTTTGTTCTAAAGTTTGAAGACTTATATGGAAAGGAATACATGAAATACAATGTACATTTGTTGTTACATATCCCCCAAAGCGTCAAAAATTTTGGTGCTCTGTGGGCCTGGTCCACTTTTCCCTACGAGCATTATAATGGGGTTATAAAAAAATTATTTAAAGGAACCCAATATCTTCCTGAACAAATAATCAAGTCGTACACGAGATTAAAGTATGTAAAGTTATCTTCTTCAGTTTTTTCTAAGGCTGACTCGAGCGCACGGGGCAAAAATTTATTTCAAACTTTAATGAAAGAGATTAAAGTTAAAAGATGCATAGAATACGGAGAAGATTTAAGAGTTTTTGGATGCGCACAAGAAGTACAATTAACGGACTTGACGAAATTGGTAATAACTCATTTTATTGAAGAGGAGATTCAAAGTTGTGCTCTATCGTTTGACCGTTTTATTATAAAACACATCCTAATTCACACCGAGAAATACCTAAGATTAACAAAAAGAAAGAATTGTGTAGTTAAAACATCAGACGGGGTTTTTATATCAATCACCAATTTTCTGTGCATTAAAACTGCAAGAGGTGAATCGAAGCAAGTGGTAATTGGAAAAGAATTGCAAGTACAAAAAGAAGCACTTTGCAATTACGAAAACTTTGCATCGTTTGAGTTCTCCTTTATTGTTAAAGAAACTAAAAATATTATTCCTTGTTGGCCAACAATGATTGAAACCAAATGTGTGTACATTCCACATGACAATCAATGCTGCGTGATACCATTAGCAAATTCATTGGAAACTGATTAAGAACATGTACGAGACTCATATAGTTAAAATACAGTAAGAAAGGTAAACATTTGTAATATTAAAAGACAAGTTACATACGAAATTATTTTTATTATACACAACATCTTTCTTCAGAATTGCAAAAATGATTTTTTTAAGTTAAAAATATTGTAACCATGTGAAAATATTTCTGGAAACTTTTCGGGAATTCCTCGGGCCTTGATTCCTGGAAGTGGATTTCCTATGGAATGTCTAGAAACCCCAAGAATACCGTCAGGAATTCCACTGATAATTTCCTGAAAATCCAATCCCAGAAAAAATTCCTGAGAATTTCCCGAATATTTTTACATGCGAGCCATTAAGCAACATTTATTCATTTATATTTTTATAAAATATTACTGAAATGGCGATTACATAAGATGTTGAACTGTGTCGCTTAATGTATTATTTAAAGAAACGTTTATTTAAACAAAATGTATTTCATATTTCAGACGCTGCATACAGGCTTTTGATCTATACTGAAATACTTCGTGTATTTTCGATTTTTAAAACGGAACACTAATTCCATTATAGAAAGGACCAAATTAAAATAATAAACGAGATAGTCACGAAACTAAGCATAAAAATACAAAAGAAAAACGAAGAAATATTAGAAAATCAATATTTCTAAATAAAAATTGCATTATAGTGTGCTATAATAATGTTATTACAACAATAATTACAATTATCATTAAATTAAATTTACATTATTTTTTATATGAGAAATGTAAATCTGTATATAATATTCTAATAAAATTATCATCACATGTTAAAAACCATCAATTATTTATTCTATCTATTTCGATATAATTACGACATCCAGATTTTATCGAAAAATTTTTAATTATAATCTTATAATAATAAAAATTAATAATCAAAAAATATATTATTATATTTGAAATTACTTTTATAGTCCTAAATGAAAATATAATGCTTATATGAATATCCAAACTAATTTGACGAAATTCTTGAACATAATATTAATATTATAATTTTACAAATCAAAAATTTTATTTTCTATAATTATATAACTATAATAATAATCTTATAATTATATTATGATAGTTTTATTATAGACTTCAACAATTACATTGTTATAATGATTTGATAAACAAAAAATTTTTTAATGAATTTTTTAAAATAAATTACTTATAATCGCGAAAATATTATACAAAAAAATTATGATTAAAAAATTTCAGCTTTAACATTAGTTTCCTATAAGAATTTTTCATAAGGGAAAGTTAATTAAAAACAAGTTAAGAAACATTATTGAAGTGAGTCGCACTGAATTTAAAAAGAAACGAAAAACTAGTTCTTAATTTTAAAAATATTAAATTTCTCATGGGTTTTTGGTTTTACGTATAAAAAGTAGGTCTAAATTTCATAAATATAAAAACTTTTTAATTGTAGGTATATTAAGGTGTATAGAAAGAGTTACATCAATGATAGAATATTTGCAAAGCAACATTATTTTTACATATATATATATATATATCAAAAATTTGAAAAAATAAAAATTAATATGCATATTCTGTTTAATTTCATAAATTACAATGTGGCTTTTTCACCCCACACCAGGTTATGTAAAAAAACTACTTGCAACTCTCTAAACCTGAATCAGTGAAATTTCACTGAAGATCAGTGAAATTTGACTGACTTTTAGTAACTCTATTTTCGCGATTTCAATCAGTGAAAAATTACTGAAATATCAGTCATTTTTCACTGATTGTTCAATTAAAAAATTACTAAAAATTTCTGTCACACATATTGAAAATTTCACTTATTTTTTAATTGGACAATTAGTGAAAAATAACTGATATTTCAATCATTTTTAACTCATATTCAGTGAAAATTCAATCATTAAAAACGCGAGAATAGAGTCACTGAAAGTCAGTCAAATTTCACTGATTCAGTTTTAGAGAGAATACTTTTGAAGCTAAAGAATTAATCTTTCAGTCTCAATTTAGAATTTAAAAAAGATTTACTCCACCCTAGTGTAATATTTAATGAAATCTTTTTAAGTTAATTCAGTTAAATTAAATTTATAACTTTATCTTCAAGAAAATTAAGTTTTATTCCTAATTAATTTAAATTTGTATTATTAATATTATTATTGCAATTATTTTATTAGGTGTCATAATTATATTATTATGATTTTTTTAATCACAAGAGTAAGAATGAATAAGAAGAGTAATTTAGTAATATAATAATAAATTATAATAAATTATATAAATTTATTTTATATAAATTATATAAATTATAATAAAATAATAAGAGTAATTTAATTGTCAGTAATTCACTTTATTATAAACCATAAATATTATAAATGTACTCACCATCCATTTCTCCGTCCTCAGAGATATTATCATCTACAACTTTCCTTATAAATGCTAATCTGAGGTAGTCCCATTTTATATAACTATATGTTGTCTCCATTGTTGCCTCAGTTTGCTCAACGTTATTCTCCGTAAACCTCTGAAGAAAGAAATTTAAAAATAAAATTCACATTATTTCACAATAGGGTAAACAAATTCAAATCTTTAAGACAAATGTTTTCAACTTACCACAGAATATTCATCAGTACAAGGTTGTAAATTAGCGAATTCCCTGCTCTCTAGTGTATGTTGATCCAATTCTGAACTTGAATCCGTTTCGTCACTAGATTCGGTTTGTTCAATTTCCATATTTGCAATATTACCCTGAGTATTTAAATCCAAGGATATGCCAAAGTTTGATATGTCCACCATCATTTCTTGATTCAATGTACTACTTGAATCTGAATCAGTTTCGGATTTCTGTAAAATTGTAAGATATTTAAAAAATTTGTCCTTTCATACTGTTTTCAAGTATTTACTGTCTACCTCATATAAAATATTTTATTAAAGACTTTTCATGTTTTTCATCTCAAGAATTGTATTGAATAGAATGAATGTTATTTTCCGAAATTTTGAGTAATAAGATTGAAATAACTTATTAATATTAATAAATATTATAGAGAAAAGATCTTTTTTACTTATATAAAACTTGTTTTACAAGTAAAAAAGATCTCTTCTCTATTATAAATGGCTTAAAATAAAGGAATATTTTAACTCCATATATTATTAATAAATATATACTTATATAAATGGAACATGTCTCAACATTTTTTAATATTTAACTTAGAAATCTCATGCTTGATAAAAATTTGGTCGTAACAAAATATTGATATTTACTATTTTCGAGACACTAAATTGCCTGCTATTTCCAGTTTATATCTTTATTTTAATAGCAAAAAATTGATATAATTTGTAGTACAAAAATTAAAAGTTTAATAGAATTTCCGGTTTGGTAAAAAATTCCTGGCTAATTCTCGAATTTTTAACCAGATATGACAGTCACTCAAAAAGTAATGTTCTAAAATACTTACAATTAAATTATAAATTCAATAAAAATGTAAAAAAATTGTCATTATTATTCAAAAATTCAATTTAGAAAATTTTATACTTTTTTTAATTCTCATTTTCAAAACAAACTTCATCGTTTTGCAATTTACATAGATTTTAAGAAAAATAGTATATAAAATAATTATAATTTCAATTACCGTCAATTCAGCTTCACGTGATCTTCTTCCTTCTCTGAACCTCGTGCTTCTAGGTACTGTTCGATCACTTTAACATTCAATTAGGAATAAATAAATAAATACCCTTTTTTATATATGCTGTTAAAGTGAATTGTAAAAATTTGTAAATTTTTATTTATATTATATATTATTTTCTATTTCTATTACTTATTTTATTATTTATTATTAGGTAATATATTATTGTATTATATTCATATAATTGAAAATTTGTAAAAATTCATAAAAATCAATAAAAAATGTCAAGTGATATTGTACATAAATGGGTTAAAATGTAAATTCTAACTTATAAAAATTAAATTGGAATACCTTTTATATTTCTTATTAGGCCTTGAATCCATATTGAGTGAAATTCCTGTAAATAATATTAAAATTAAATAAAACAGAAAAGGAACGAATAGGTTATATGAAATATATTTGATTTGCATGATAGTTGGTAGAGCACTTCTCGAAACTGACATAGGTTTAGATTTTCAATGTATGCAGGGTAATTTTTAAGTTCCGAACCTTTTAAAAAATATTTTTCTATTTTTTTGTTTTAAAAAATGAAAGAAATTAAAATAAATTTTTTTTTAGGAGGTCCGTTCTTTGAAGATCACTCTGTATATGTATATACAGAGTGATCTTTAAGTACCGGACCACTACAAAATTTTTTTTAGTTCGATTTTTTTCGCTCCTAAAACAAAAAAAATTGATTTACAAAAAAATTTTTTAAGGGGTCCGGAAACAACGTTAAAAAATAGCTAAAATAACTTTAAACTAATCTCTTTAACCACCATCTATCTATATATATAAAATACTATCTATACGCAACAATACCGGTCGCGAGGCAGCCAGATTCCGGTGCCCGCCGAAGGCGGGGCCGAAAGCTAGTTTTTAATAAAATTACTAAATGAATACATATTAATTAGCAGTTAAAATAATTCTTTTCATATATTTAAAATGTTTGAATAATAGAGGAAATTGAGTTTTAGGATTCTGAATATGATCCTATATGGGATTCTATATGATATCTTACATGAATTTCCTCGTAAGATCCCACATGGATTCCTATGTACGGTTACAAATTTTACTTTTAAGGTCATGTTATTCAGAGTGACTTATTTCCGAAGTAAAGTGTATGGGGCACGCGACCACTGAATAACATGACTTTAATAGAAATATAAAATTACATGTAAGAATAGAATAATTAGAAAATAAGTATCACTGAAAGAAAAGAAAAGTGACATTTTTAATCATACATAGAAAAACACATAAGATCCTACGTGATAATCTATGTAAGATATCATATAAAATCTCATATTAAATCATATTCAGAATCCTATGTCTTAACTTTTTCTATTCTTAACAAATTTCAAATGAGTCACATTTCAATTTATAACTTCCTAAGTGAATGAAAGAGGTGAAATTAGTGACATATTTATCAATAAAAATAACAAAAAATAGTATTCAATGCTTAACAATGTGTTAAAATTTCTTATTATATTTTTTTTTCCTTATAAAATTAAACTAAATAAAAAAGATGTTACGGACGGATTTCCGTAATTTTTAATTTTTTTTAGGCGATAAATATTATTTATTAAAAATAATATTTATATTATCAACGTTACAACTATTTGTCAATTATAAACATACGTCTATACAACACACAACACACACACATACTAAGTTTCAGACACTAGAATAGTTAAATAATATTTCTAATTAATTCAATAAATATTTATAAATTCATTTTTTTTATTTAATTTCTAAATCAAAGTTTATTTCGTAAATGAGTTCAGATTATTGAACTTCATATTGCGAAATAATTCAAACTAAATTAACAGTCGATTTCGCAAGTTGTGGGACTTACACTGCAAAGAGTTGCCACATTATTTTGGGAAAATGAGGAAACATATAAAGTATACCGATAATAAAGGTGGTTGAACCGATCACGCCACGATTAAAATGCAAGTTTTGCTAAAACTTGCATGGAAACAACGAGGTGTTGATTGCAAAATCAACCCTCCCACCACCTAAAATTATATACCAAATGGGTGTGATCGTTGCCACCAAATTATTATTCGAGGAGTCCTAATTTGTTTTTCCCGGAGAGCGGATGTATTTCCCGCCAAGGAGCGGATGAGTATTAAAGTTTAACTCCCACTAAGAGTGGTAGAGAGGATCATTTATTCCCCATAGTAAGGGTTGAAGTTCATCGAGTTTTATTTATTAAAAATATAAGTGTTTATTCCACAATCTGGGAAGTCGACGAGTACATAAAAGTTCATTAAAATCAAAAAGATTATCTGAAAAGTATAAAGTGTTCTAATTGTTAAAGTGAAGAATCCATTTCTTGTCTAAAAGTATTTATTATATATTCGCAATTGTTTATATTTCAAGTTTACTGTTCAGAAAATTCAGATTTTGTGACCCAATATCCTGAATTTTTAATAAACAGAAATTGAAATATTGAAATAATTGTCCGAAGACATTTAACAAAAACGAGTTTATAAAAAGAAAATATATAAAATAAACTAAGGTAGAAAGATAGCTTCCGCATACTGCAGAATCATATGACAGATAACAATTTAACTTCTGAGAGTGAGAAAGTAATTTGATACTTTTCGGTATCATTTTAATTATTATTATTTGGGTGAGTTGTCTTGAATTTATATTCATAATTTGGAAATTACAGAGTCTCATAAAACCAACACTATTACACTTGTTTCATTTACACGAATTAATTTTTGCTGTTGTTATTAAAATCCTACACTCATTATTGATCTCTTGTTTGTGTTCATAATATATGATTTTTGTGAGACTTGAATTATCAATTCAAGTAGCTTAACGTAGCAGTATTTTCCATTGTAATCATTTTTTTATTTAAAGATCAATTGGGGTTTTGAATGTATTTTCTATTGGGGGTTGTATGAATAAATGTTACCTTATTTTATGTCAATTCAATTCTCAATTTATTTAATCACCTTTATTTGTGTTATCTCATTTCTTTCTTTGTGAATATTTTCAACGAAATACCGTCTACCCGGGGGTGTTGAATAGATAACACTCTAAGCAACAGTCCACTACCTTTTTCTATCTTGTGTAGCGAAGAGCAATTACGCTTACCGAATAAGCGGGTTGTTAATAATAAAGATTAGTGTAGTTTCTAACTTATTATTTTTCTTCAAAATTTATTTTACTTTATTTATTTTTTTGTTAATCAACATCCGTCTTTAACAAAAGATAATCATGTTAAGCATTTTGTAAATGAATCTAAAAAATAATTATAGCAAAACTGAATACAAACTTACCTTTCTGAATGTGATTCAAAAAGTCCAAGATGAAAAAGAATATCGCGAATAACACTAAATTATAACTATGAATGCACGTGGTAAAAACGGTATTGTGATGGCTAATAGATATCCGAGAAGAACCTGTTGATTGTCTCCTCACATTGCGTGTAGACTCTTAATACGCAGACGCAGAATTTTAAAATTCTCACTCTCAAGCACATACGTTAAATTAAAAAAAAATTTAAGATTATACATTGCATGTACACAAAGTTGAAAATATAAAAGTTTATATTTTCTTCAAATTTCATATTTAGTTTTTAATTATACATTGAATGACAACTAATATTAATAATTGGTAGAAATGCAGTTAAGGAACTATTTTTTTAACAACACATTTTAGCGCGGAAGAATACACTTAAAACTGAAAAAGTAGTTCCCCACGTTAGCTGTGTTACCTAGGAACTAGAACTAAAGAAATAGTTCCTATTAAAATTTGCTATGAATGATTAACCTTCAAGTATTATTTGACTATAGCATATATTGTAATGAAAATTGAAACTGTGCTTAAACTAATATATTTTCCTGATTACATGCTTCCACTATCAATGTAAATTAATTTTTACATAAAACATGTGCTTGCACGAAATTTGAATTTCATTCTGCGTCTGCGCATACCACCGTGATTATCTCCCTTTCAGTGTCTTGCGCAAGTATGGCGTCATTGTTGTCCTGCTTCCGCAAACATTGCGTCCACTTACGCTGTGAACCTGATCGTGCCTCATGGTCTTCGTGATAAATAAAAAGAGTAATAAAAATGTTCGCGTACGTGAAATTTGTCGACAGTGCGTGTGAGAGTGAAGTGAAACATAAAAACTTAAAAATTGTACCGGTGACGGACATTTATAATTTTCAAAAATATGCGAATAATAAAACGCGAGTGTTTAGAGTGAAATGTGGGGAGAAATGGTGTTTCGCCACAATCGGCTTAACCGCACGTAAGTGTATTTATTTTATTAATATAATATTTAATATAATATTTAACTTTTCACTCTTCTCACCTGTAATTTTAAAAAATTCCAATAATTAATTTTTTAATTTAGATACAGAACAAATTTAATAACCAGTAATTCCCTGACTTTTCTCCTATTTCTAAATAGAGTTTTTACTTTCTCCCTACTTCTTCTAAAAAAGAATTAAAAAAGTAAATAATAAAATTAATTACTGTATCAAACTGACCTCGATTATTTTTTTAAAGTTATAATAAAATTCTTTAAAAATTCAATAACTTTTAATAGATTTTAAAATTTTTAATTAATTTACAAATTTTCAATTACTTGTTCATAAAAAATTCAAATTATCTTTAAAAAATAAAATTAGAATATTTTAAAAACCTTATTTTTCAATATTATAAATATTCATTTTTTAAAAACTTTTATTGATTAAATTTAATTTTTTGATTTTTTTCACGGATTTTGGGATTTTTGTAAAATCCGTGACAAAAAAATCAAAAATCCTTTTCACCCGACCTGTTGGAACCTTTTGCAATTTTTTCTAAAAGCCTACTAGTATTAAAGTTAACAATTATTAATAGAAAAAAATTGCTTCCGAGACGAGGAAATAACAATTTACTTGAAATTCCGGGATTTTCGTCAATTCCTTGACAAAATCCCTTTTTTCCTTATTTCAGGTTTTGGAGGGTTTACTTAGGTTAAAAACAAACAAATTTCATTAATAAGAGTTGGAATTCTTATTTTTTTCGTTGAATCAGTTGGTAACTTCAGTTTCATTAATTTTGAACAGGAGGCAAATGGCCAAATGCACTTTTAGAAAATGTAAATTTTATTATTGTTTGTATGAAATTATTTTATTTTACATTTATATTTGCAGCTAGTAAAGAAGATATGGAGGTGAAATTGCTGAGAGGACCTCGAGCCAAGTTCCCGGGGTCAGCCTTGCGGAAGGAGAATTCAGATTTACAACACCAAAGCAACGACAAAAAGCAGAAAAACTCAAAGAAGGTATATAAAAAATAGGTCCTTTTGATAAGAGGTCATTCAAGAATTACGTGAACCCATTTTCAAGGTTTTTGACCCCCATCCCATAGTAATATGTTTTACATACATTAGCGCCATTTTTTCTATTGACTATTGACGTGAAAATTATGATTTAATTTTTTGACAAGTGTTTTTGTGCAGGTTTCATTTATTTTCACGAATAATAAAATTCTTAATGGGAATTCAATTATTTTCAAAAATAATGAATTTCTTCTCAGCAATTCAATTTTTTTTATTTTAATTAATTTAAAATTCTTCAAAGACCTTAATTTATTAAATACTGTTCATATGTTGTAGTCTTGGGTCCATAATAATAATAAACGAAGTTCTTGGTAATAAATTTATATAATAAAATTAATTGATGATTGCATTTTCGCTGTGAACACAACTCATCAGGTCTCAAATAATTGAATTCATATAAATTTTTTAATAAGAATCAAACTTAAAAATAAATTTCAGTTTAAATTTTCCATAATTCAATATTAAAAGCGTTATGGTATAAATATTGGGAAATATTAAATTAAAAAAAAATTTTAAATTGATATTTTGAAAAATTTTTCCCTTATTATTTTTTAAAAAAATAACTTATGTTTTTAATTTCAACAAAGAAATGATTGAATTTTTGAAGAATTACAGTTGAAATGTTTAGAAATAATTAAATTTCAACAATGTTTTACATTGAAATGATTGAAAATATATAATTTCCTGTGGAATTTAATTTTAATTAAAATTCTTTGAAAATAGTTAAATTCCTGTAAATAATTAAAAAAATTGAATTGAATTTAGAACTATTTGGAAATTTTAGCAAATTGACTTAAAAGGCATTTTATGTTTTAAAGAATTTTATTTTTCTCCTGCAAAATTTAAGATAACTGAGTTGTGCTTTTTCGAAATTCACGATCCAATTGCCTGATTTTTATCCATTTATAATTTTAATTTGTTAAAATGTTGATAATAATCGAATGTTTTAGAAATTGAAAAGACGAGTTTCTTCTCCTGAAGAAAAGGAAATTTCTTCAAAAAAAAAAATTAAACTAGAGCCACCCACTGCAACCACTCTTTCATTATCTGACGATGAAACTAGGGATATTAACGGAAAAGAAGAATCTATCTATCTATCTATTGAAAAAGAAAATATTGTTGTCCAAAATCTGGGAGAAGTAAAATCAAAAATTGAAGTTGAATTTCAACAGGTGCAACCGCCCACTGCAACCGCTTTCACATCAACTGAAGATAAAATTACGGGAAATGACCTAAAAGAAGAATCCATTGATAATCTAATTAAAAATGAAGACATTGTTTTACAAAATTCGGGAGAAGCGGAATCAAACATTCAAGTTCAAATTGAACAGGTGCCGAATCAAGTACAAGAGCAGCAACGGGGGCAAGAGCAGGAACAAAATGAGAAGGACCTAATTGAAGTTCCCCCCAATGAGAAAAATAAAATAAAAATAAATCGATACAGTTTAGTAAATAATAATCAGGTAATTATTACGAATTTTCTTGAAATTGGTAACTTATAGGTTTTAGGAGTGTCTGATTTTCAATGAAATTAAGTGCCAGGTTTGCCACAAATCAGGGAAAAGTCAGAAAATTTCATCAAAACTACTGGAAAAATAACAAACTTTTATAATTATTACAAAAAATCTACTTTTTGGAGACAAACATTCATTTTTGAAAAATATAAAAACCTTCACTTCTCTTCAACTGTTAGCTATTATTCATAACTAATAAATTTGTTTATATTTTGCTCTTACTCAGTAACAATCTGTGAGTAGAAATATTCAAAAATTGTCTTTTTCCACCCTCTAGATTTTTTAATAATCTCTGCTTTCATAAAAAAAGACCAAAATTTTATAATTTTTTTTCAATTTTTAGCTATTGTTTATAACCATTTAAGTTTTTATTTCTTTCCGTATTGAGTGAGAATTACTGGATAGGTATAGAAATGAAAGATTGTTTTTCAACCATCCAGCTTTTACTAGTTTTAGTTTTCGAAGGAATTTTATGTCAACTGTTCAAAGATACTTTTATTTTTAAAAAAATTTTATTAAAAAAATTATCAAATTAATTGAAATTTTGTGAAACATTTTAAAGAATTTTATTGTAATATTTGCAAATAATCGAAGAAAGTTTTACACAGTAACTTCTTTTATTTTTATCAGTTGTAATTTTTTTAGAGGGATCGGGAAAAAAGTCAAAATTCTACCTGGAAATCAGGGAAAAGTCTGGGAAAAACGAAGTCAATCTTTTGTGGCAATCCTGAATGGCGAATATACATATAAAATTAATTTATTAAACTGATTTTATTGAAAATTGTTAGATTTTAATGGAAATTGACATTCAGGCATATGCATTGAAAAAAGTTAGGTCTTTTTATAGCTTAAAATTTAAAAGCCTATATATGTTTGTTCACATATTCTGTTCCTTACTTGATACATATATTTCTTATTACTAAGTATGGAGAAATGTATGTAGATTTTTTATTATTTATGTCAGATCTATCTTGGCGCTGGCGTCCTTGTTGACAAAGACGATTGGGCAACAATCAACAAAAGAAAAAGAAAGGATTCATTGTGGATATTAAGCGTAATTGACCTGTTCTATCCAAGTGGATTGAAAGATAGGTGTATCGACCCTAAAAAAGTCCGACAAAGGGAAGATGGTCGGGTGAAAACCCCATTAACACCAAAAAAAATCAAAGCTATGGAAAGTAAGTATGAAAATTTTATGCGTTGCACAATCATTATAATTTTCATGAATTTAATGAGTTTTTATATTTTTGTACACAGTTTTTCAGTTTCAACCATTTTATTTCCTTTCTTCCATTTTTTCTTAATCTATTGTTACATTTATTTTGAAAGTCTTCACAACTATCGTATTATAATAAATAATAAGTTGAATTTTCATTATTCACACTACTTCTAAAGTATATATATTTTTCTATTTTTAATAAAAAGACATTTTAAAGTAAGTTTCATACGATTTTTAGAGAAAATTTTACTAACTCAGTAGTAAATTATTCTCGGGTACAGTGAAATCTATAGACTTTTAAAACAAAACTAGCGTTCTAACAATTTTGATTCAAAGTTTAGAAAAATTGTAGATTATAAAAAAAGTTTATGAAATATCAATAATTAATTTAAAAAATTTTAACAATTAAGTCTAACTTAACCTGGCGAGCGAAGAGGTGGGTGTTATCTAGCCAGTAATGTTGTCTAATTTAATTAATTTCAAAGGTTTAAGACTAGAAAAAATATAATCTGTTAATGTTGAGATACATTTACATGTTAAAAAAATTTGTTATTGTTAATTAATAATATGTTCCAAATAAAGCAGAATTTAACATTTATATAAAACTATCAACTTCTATTATAGTACCACACTTAGTACCTAATAAATAATTTAAATAATACATAATATAACATTTTTGACAACTAATATTCCTAATTGTTTACTAAATTGTTGTCGAGTAATACAATTTTTTATGTTTCATCTAAAAGGTGCACTTTTTCCTAATTTTGCAATTTATTATTCAAAGTTCAAATATACGGTATTGAATGCAAAACAATTCGTTTGGCAATTATTATTATAAAAAAAATGTATTAAATCAAAATCAAATTTCAACACAGAGAAAAATCTTTTTCCGTTAGCAAATTATTATTAGCCTTCATTTGTTTATTTTGAAAATTAATTTTTGTGGGTTATTATTATTTTCCAATCTTTTTCAATCTTCAAACTTTTTAAGGGGTTCAAAAATTATAACAGTTAAAAAGTTATAAAGAATTATTATAATTTTCTCTATTTTTATGAAAAACGGAAGTATTTTTTGAAATTTGAGGAGTTTTATTCAATATTTAAATTAATTTAAATTGTTCAATTATTTTAGTTTTAAAAGATAATGAATTCCTTAATTCTAAAAGTTGGATGGAACAATTTTTTCTTTTCATCAAAATAATCAAAATTTTCGTAACCAAGATTATTTTTAATTTTGAAATTATTTTAAAAATTATAATATGACATAATTTTTGCGAAATTAAGTTTTCTTGGCACACCAAGAAATAATAGTAATAAAAAAGTTTATCGGTTTCATTCAAAATTTGTTTATCTCATTTAGAATTTTACGTCAAATTTAAAAAATTCAAAACACAGCATTTGATTTGTCTCACTTTTTTTTTGATTTATTAGATTCAATGATTTTTGGGGTGAATATGGTAAAGTTTTTAAATTATTAATTGGATTCGACATTTTGAGTTTAAAAAATCTGATGTCAAATTTGTAAAAGTATCGAAATTTGTTAAAGTTTTTCTATGAACTTGAAAGTTCTAAAATAATATAAATTGAAAATTCAATTCTAACTAGTTTTTTAGTTATGTCCTAATAATTATTTCTTTGAAAAATTACTTGAATTAAAATGGCTTCAAATTGTGTGGAATAATTAGTGCAATTATACATTCAACATTCCCGCGTGGATAATTTGAATAGTTTGTTAAAATAATTGTTAAAATAATGATTTCGCATAAAATATTTTATGTTCACACGTGGTTCAATAAATTAAAACATTAAAAAAAATCTACATCTTTCCAGGTGAGCTGTGAAAAAATTTAGTAAATAACAATAATACTTTTTGTAAACAATTGTTGATACAATATTATATTATATTTTTATAATTTATTTCTATATGACAGTATTAAAAGCCAATAAATTTGCAAAATTAGAAGAAAACTATATCTTCCTAAGTGGAATATTCGAAAAGTTAGTAAATAACAATGATAATAATAATAATTATAATTTGTTTGAACAAATTAAAAGTTTATTGTAACATTAGTAAAATAGATTATTTATACTAGATATTTATAATAAATCACATCGAACATTCTATGCCTTTTTTATAATATATAAATTAAAATCATTCAAGTCACTACTCGTTAGTTTTATACTTCACGAACATATGTTAACATTAATTAAAAATAAACAAGAAGTACAAAATTGTGTTTACCCCTCATTGTTCTATTACCGTCCCCTGTAGAGTACTGAAAAACACAGCAAAATTCGATAAGCCATATTAAAATTTATCGCGGAAAATTAAAACTCAACTGGGTGGATTCCTCCTAGGTTTGCACTTTCCGGGTTAAAAACAAGTTTCAATGAAAAGAGAAACTAAAACCCACCATTTTTCAAATTAAATCCCTTTTTTAAAAATTAAAATTCCTGTTTCCACCTAACATTGTATGACAGAATCATTGTGATTTCTAATATTAACGTTCCTTTATTTCAAATTATACATTCAAACAATCTTTTTTTTCCAGGGCTATACCGTGATCGATTAAAAAAGAGTGGTATTAATGGAATGAGAGCACTTCAGGAAGAAGTAAAGCTAGTAAGAAGGAAGATAACTCAAACAATAAACGATTTAAATAAAAAATCAAAGAATCCGATACAGCAAGACTCTGATACAGAGTAGTATTTCGTACTCAATTTTGATATTTCATTTCTTATAATGAAAAACAATTTGAAAGTTAATATAAATGTTTTTTACGGTCTTGTTTATTCAGGTCGCGTTTTCTCACAGTAAGATTTAATGGGTACGTGACCATTAAATAACCTTAAATTTTTTGCATAATTATTAGATGAAACGCGAACCAAAGTTGATTTGATTTCATTTACACTGTGATTTACATTTAGTATTTATATGGGCAAATCCACAGAACCGGCCGATTTCATGTTACTCACATATTTTTCTATTTTAGAAGTATTATATTAATTATTTTCATACTTCAACCATTTTGTAATATCTCTGAGAACCTATTGAAATAAGAAAATTGAATAAATGTGAACCTTCTAGTCTTTTATAAAAAATAAAATCGAATTAAGTAACTTAAAAAATGGAATTTACGGTGTTACTCCAGGTATAAATTTTAATTCTTATAGGTGTAACTTGTTCGGCATAGATCCGAACAATTCCAAACTGTGGTGAATTATAGTTTACTTATTGAAGAATGTTTTGAAAGTAATAAAAAATATGTGCTCTTAAATAAAAAGAAATGATAGTCGTTGAAAGTAGCGTTACTCATTATTTTATAATAATGAAATGTCTATACATTTTTGTAAATATATTTTGCGGCGATTATTCGATTTGAATTTTTCAAATTGGAGCTTATTGCTTGTGAACAGACGAACAAATGTATGTATCATAGAATAGAGTGCAATCAGAATTAAAGAAAATATTCCAATAATTATCACTCTATGTTTAAGCGTGAACCATTTTCAACATAGCCTTTTTTCAGTAGCACAACTACAGGATAAAATATGATGAGATGAAAACATGTGTGATTATATAAAGACATTATTATAATTCTTGTATGCAAACGCCAAATTATATTTTCAATTTATAACGTCTACAAATTAAAAATAAAAAAAAATTTATCGAAATTTAACTAGTTAATCGTGAAAAATGAATTATCCTTTCATTTGTTTTATTTTCAAAGTTATATCAAAATCGATGTCAATAATGTCAGTTTGTTGGTTAAAATAGTTAATATCAAAATTAGTAAGTAAACAATTTAATTTACAGAAATAAAAAATTAAATGCTAATAAATAAAATATATAATAAAATATGATAAAATATAAATAATTTATTTTTGATAATTAAAAAATTAATTATTTGTATTTTATCATATTTTATTATTCAAAATGTTTTGCACATATTTCAAATAATATATAAAAAAAAACAAAGAAATGCCATTTTTAATTATAATTTCCAGAAGAAAAATAATATTTTCGCTTTTGGCTTTTAACTCAAACGGCATTAAAATAAAATGAATCACGCAAGAAGATAATTGTTCTTGAATATATTTTAAAGAAAGTAAACCATAAATAAAAGGTGTGCTTGCTATTTGGAAAATTTTCATCTTGATAAGTAAAAATCGGCCGGTTCTGTGGATTTGCCCATATAATGATACATAAACTTTAACTGTGGCAATCTCAAACAGATATTAAGGGCTTACAGTTGATAAGGTGATGTCTCCACATTCTTAACATTTTGAATTTTAATTTTCTATTGCATGTAGGCCCTTAATTAAGTTTCTTTTCAAAGTCACTCTAATATTGGACTGATTAGTTTTTGGTTAAAACCAAAGTTATATATTAGTTAAATATGTTTCAGTAAATAATATTACCTTAAGGAGGTTATCCGTCTATTTCTCTTAAAAAAATTAAATGTTTTGCATAATTTTTAATTTAAACGTGAATCAAAATATATTTGTTTTTAGCATTTAAGTAATGATATAAAAACTTTTCACAGTGGTAGTCTTACACAAATATTGAGGGCTTACGATTGATAAAGTGATATCTCTATTTTCTTAACATTTTTAATTTCTAGTACATGTTGACCCTCAATTAAGATTGTTATAAAATTCCTTCTTTAATACAGGACTGATTACTTTTTAGTTAAGAATTATTTATAATAGATAATATGTTTGACTTAAATCAGAAATTTAAATAACAGTATTGTGATTAGTCTTAAAAAATTTATCTACTACTTAATAATAATACAATTCTATTAATGTTAACAAAATATATTTATTAAATTCCAAGAAATACCACAATTGTGTTTTTTCATTAATTTACAGTTCCTCAATTTCGAATAATTCTATTGACTTTGTGAAGCCTCTTTACTATAGTTAAAGTCGCGCAACGCCATCACGAAAGGTACAGTGACTCTCTCAAAAACTTTCCCGTGTAGCAATGGTATTCTGTTTGATTAAAATAAATTGTTTTCTCAATGTATCAACAGAGAAAATTAAATTTGAAAATAAATATTTTAATTATTTAAATAAAAATTAATATGAACACTTCTTGGGAAACCTTTCTCAAATAATTGGGAATTTGACGATTTCAACTAAGAATTTTTATAGGTTTTTATGTAAAGAAGTTTTATTGAATTATTAAATGAGACTTAAAATAGAAATTTTTGTCGGTTTTTTTGAATAAGAAAATTTTTAAGAAATGTTAAATAAGATTTTAAATATAAATTTTTGTAGGTTCTTGAGTAGAATAATTTGTTTGGATTATTAAAGAAGATTTAAACTATAAATTTTTGTAAGTTTCTATGTGAGAACACTTTTTAGAATTGAGCTACCGCGTACAATAATCGCAGATGCGCGTTGCTCATTTATTAATTAAGATTTTATCTAAGAATTTTTATAGGTTTTTTTGGGTTATTTCGAAAAATTATTAGATAAGATTTAAAATAGAAATGTTTATAAGTTATATAGGAAAGTTTTGTTGAATTATCAAATGACATTTTCATAGGTTTTTATGTAGGGTCATTTTTGAAAATTATTAAATAAGATTTTAACTAGGAATTGTTATCGGTTTTTAAGTAGAGAAATTTTATTGAAATATTAAATAAGATTCAAAATAGAAATTTTCACATTCTTTTATATGGGGAAATTTTACTGAAATAATAAGTAAGATTTCATGTAGGAATTTTTGCGAGTTTATATGTAGGAATGTTTTGTTGAATTATCAAATGAGTTTTAAGCTAGGAATTTTCATAGGTTTTCATAGAGGGTAATTTTTTAAAAATATTAGATAAAATTTTAAATAGGAATGTTTATAGGTTTTTATATAGGAAAGATTTTCCGAATTATCTGGTAAGATTTGAACTTAGAATTTTTGTAGGTTTTTATCTAGGGAAATTTTATGGAATTAAGAAGTAGGATTTTAACTAAGAAATTTTATAGGTTTTCATGTGGGGAAATTTTATTGAAATCATAAGTAAGATTTCATGTAGGAATTTTTGTGGATTTATATGTAGGAATGTTTTGTTGAATTATCAAATGAGTTTTAAGCTAGGAATTTCCATAGGTTTTCATATAGGGTAATTTTTGAAAAATGTTACATTAGATTTTAAATATAAATGTTTATAGGTTTTTATATAGGAAAGATTTCCCGAATTATCAGGTAAGATTTGAACTAAGAATTTTTGTAGGTTTTTATGTAGGGAAATTTTATGGAATTAAGTAAGATTTGAACTAAGAAATTTTATGGGTTTTCATGTGGGGAAATCTTATTGAATGAATAAGTAAGATTTCATGTAGGAATTTTTGTGAGTTTATATGTAGGAATGTTTTGATGAATTATCAAATGAGTTTTAAGCTAGGAATTTTCATAGGTTTTCATAGAGGGTAATTTTTGAAAAATATTAGATAAGATTTTAAATATAAATGTTTATAGGTTTTTATATAGGAAAGATTTCCCGAATTATCAGGTAAGATTTGAACTAAGAATTTTTGTAGGTTTTTATGTAGGGAAATTTTATGGAATTAAGTAAGATTTGAACTAAGAAATTTTATGGGTTTTCATGTGGGGAAATCTTATTGAATGAATAAGTAAGATTTCATGTAGGAATTTTTGTGAGTTTATATGTAGGAATGTTTTGATGAATTATCAAATGAGTTTTAAGCTAGGAATTTTCATAGGTTTTCATAGAGGGTAATTTTTGAAAAATATTAGATAAGATTTTAAATAGGAATGTTTGTAAGCTTTTATATAGGAAATAGTTATCAATTCATTTTAAGAGATTTTTTGTGGATTTCTATATATGATTTTATATGAGGAATTCTAAGCGCGGAAACGTTTAAGATTTCACATATTTTTTTTTGTAAGATTTAATGTAGAAAAATATGAAGGAAATTGACATGGGAAATTGACATAGGGAATTGACAAAAAAAAATTGTACGAAAAAAGCTAGAAAATCATATAGGAATCAATATGGATTTCTTTGCTGCAAATTCCTATATGAATTCCTATGAACAATCCTGTGCCAATTTCATATGTGGTTTTTGATGGGATCCTACATAGATTCCTATAAACAACCTAGGATTTTATATGTGCTTATAGATAAGAAAGCATGTAGGATCCTATGTAGGATCCTACATAGGTATTTTCAATAGGGTTCCAAAAAGTCAACTGACGATGGACCACTAGGTATACCAAAAGATGGAATTAACACCTCTTTTATTGTAGAATTTTTTAATAAACTGTTTGATGCCTTGAATGAAAAAGAGGAAGTTGACAAGTCTAGTCCATTTAGAACAGTTTTAACAGATGATAGTTTCCATTTACAGTTTTTTAATGAAGCTCTTGCCATTTTATCGGATAAAAAATTCGTAAAAAAACAGACAAAGAAAGTTGTAACCCAACCACCATGTTTAAATAATTTAAAGAAAACTATTCAAGGCATCAAAGTTTTATGGAAAAACTTGAAGCAATTCGGTTTCACTTGCTTGAAAACTAGACACTTAAACCAAGATCTATTGGAGAATTTTTTTCTCAAATTCGAGGTTTAAGTGCAAACAGAAAACCTAGTTGCTTCCAGTTTATACCCATCTTTAAGAGTCTTATTTTTAAAACTTTTAATAATTATAAACCGTCGACATCAAATTGTGAGAATGATAATGGGAATACGCTTGTTTCATTAGAAAGTATGTGTAGTGAGAATGTGAATTATTCCCGTCCTCATGTTTATTTACAAAAAATTGTGAATCCTGCATCTTATAATGAAGATGCTATTCCAGAAAAAGGAAATCTTTCTAGTGACAGCAATAATTTATTAAATTGTTTAAAAGAAAAAGTTCTTTTATTAGTTTCATGTAACAATTGTTCTTCTAGAATCAAAAGATCACTTAACTCTTTTAATATTAAATAATTACACAACGACACTAAAAGTATTTTGCGTAGAATTATTCCAACTATTTTCTCAAGTGTCGGAATTTGTAACAATGCTGCAACTACTATCAAGAAAGAGATAACAATTGAACATATTTGCTGCCCTATTCACAAAAATGAAGTTATGGAACAATTTATCAATCTCAGTACAACTTTATATTTGCGTTCTGTAAGTTCCTTCTTAGATTGTCTGTTGCGTGGAAAGATTTCTTTTAATTTGGAAAAATACCCTCGAGCAAACATGTTTGTCATGAAAGCTATAAGTAATAAGTACGATTCATCTTTGAAGAATAAGTATGTAACGATTTCAACTATTTCGAAGAAATGTTAGGATTTAATATTTTTCTTGTCCCACGTTTTTAGAAATCAAGATCAGGGAAGTTAGGAAATCTTTTTGTTCAGTCTTCCTGGACTCCCTGTAAATATTTGTATTTCAATAATTATTTTGTTGAAGTTGTAGAAATTGTATTACGGTTGCAGTTACAAATAATACTTTCGTAGACATGTCAAGTTCTACATGTATTGTACTGTATTAGATACTTATATCTTTAAAGACAAATCATACTACTTATCTTCCTATTGTAAATAGTTTATTAAGGTTTACATACTTAGGGCATAAGTTGCAAATTTATTTTCGTTGTCAGAGAAGTTTTTTATATTTTATTTTATGTATTTCTATTTTATGTAGAGGAGTCATGTTCTATT